AGTCGGGTCGACGCGGATGAATGGACGCTCTGTTCATCTGTTCATGGTCTTGTTCCCTGTGCATCCGGGGGGCGTGCTAGGGGTGCTGTGATGGGTTTGGAGCAGCGCCAGCCCCTTTTCCAGCAGTTATGGTTGCTAGTCAGAATCCATAGCGCTGATAGGCACTTATAGGCTCATTCGAACCTTTAAATTAGGTAGTGTTTGTCTGTCTGTCGATTCGTTTAGTATCTGCAGAATGGCCCTTCATCTCAGTGGACTCAAGAAAGACTTGTATGGAAGGATAGGACCAATAACATTTCAAGGAACATCTCAGAGGTCGAAGCTCGCGGTATCGACCTCACGCCATGTTATGAGCTGCGATAACACTTTCTTCTCCACCATGTGGTATTACACTCACTTGTGACATTCGCACCAACTCATTTAGGTGTTCGTCTCCCACTAGGTGGTGGACAAGTGTAGAGGAAGCAAAAATGGAATAAAAAAGGAAAGCGTAACTTGTGTCATGACGCCATTCGTGGCAAAAGCACTGGTTGTGAAATAGCCTACCAATGATTTTTCGGATCATCTCGGTAGAGAACAAAGAATGAGATCACCGCAGCTGCACTTGCAATCCCCAGTGAATAGTAGAGGTACCTCCAGCCAAACGAAGACTCACAAAAGGCACTCGCTAATGGCATTGTTAGAATCGAAGAAAACTGAAATATTTTCTCCATTACACAGAGAGTTATTTCTGCAATGAACGGAGTTTACCACCTCATACAAGTGGTGAGATGTCAGCAAAGTTGAACCCAGGGAACAAAATGCAATTGAGCCTACCTGCGGACTGCAAGATAGTACCGCGATGTACGTCCCAGATTCAGCAAGAACAGACCAGTGCGAGGTGATAGAACCGACGCTTACAAATGCAATTGCCATTGAAAAGCCCTATTACAAGCACATTTATCTTACGACTGCGATAGTGATGCCACAAATACCTGCATAATTCTTGCAATCATCACGAAAATGTGCCCAAGTTCGACAGTAAGTGGAAGCATGGCTGTTCCTAGTGTTGATACTATTCCGTAGAAGACGAAAGTGTATCTGGAAACATTCTTATAATGCCATACGGATAAGAGAGCACTCTGATCCTTGAGTCCCTCTCTGAGTTTCACAGGAACTAATGAAGATACTCACTGTGGCCCTTATAAAAGGCAGTTCTGACACCCCGATAGTTGTTCCGCCCACCTATGCTCAAAGGTTGTTATCCCGTTGGGAGCCCATTTTAACAGCGTGTTTTTCGTTTTTTACTGCTAGATGATATTAACATTGATGAAGCAAAGAAACGATCTTTGAACGACAGGCGGTGGGATATCGCTTCGCTGGCTGATGCAACCAAGTACGGAAAACTCGCATGATTTTTTTTGCCTTTTTCTTCCGTGTAGAGTCACTTAACAACCACAGATTTGCAACTGAGCGCCACTTTCCACAAACTGCAATGAGGGAGGGGGGGGGTGGTTGTGGTTGCCATTAGCGTCATCCGAAAACTAGTACTGCGTGAGGTAGACCTCGCAATGAGCCAGCGAGTCGTTCTTGATAGCGAGGCTAGAAATGGAACTGTATGTGCAAGTTGACTTATCCGTGAAGCCATAACGAGCAAAACCATGGAAAACGTTTCGAATAGAACCCTACTTGTACCAGGCGAAAGGCAAGAAATCAATGTGGATCGAGAGGCGAGAAGCCAGGCAAAGAAGCGAGAGAGCGTTTAAATGAGAAAGACAGCATAAGCGACATCTATCAATGTGGGCGGAGTCACCCGAGCAACCTTGTGCCTTATCCTAGCTACTTTACCACTTTCTGACGTGAGTCTTGTACAGGACTGATCGTTGCAGTTCACACTACATATAAAAGAGTTTAGATAATTAAAGTGATCGCGGGCTCTCTCTTTGATGGAATGGCCCCCATCAGAAGATCTGGAATCGGTGTTGTACCCTGTTCACCTCAATGGTATCAGGCAAACCTCCCAGTTTGGAAAATGACAGATATTGGTCGTGAGGCAGGACTCTACAAATGTACATGTCATTCGACCACATTCATGATACAAGGCCTTAGCGGCTTCCACCGCCTTTGAGGGTCGAAATCGCTCGTGCCCGAGTTTAATAGGAGTTGCAGGAAAATCGGAACGCCTCATGTCATCTTCCACTTTCTCAAGAAAACTCACTTTACATCACCTTATCTTACCTCAATCCAAAGGCGTGCATGATAGGGATGATGGGTAAGGTTCCAAGTAATTGACCCACTGCAACTACAGAAAATAGTGCATTCTTCTTAGCAGGATTCTCCAACCAGTGCCCTGAAAACTTGTTTTTTGTAAAAGAAGTACAATTCGTAAGCACGTCATTGGTTCCAAACGACCGATCCAGTTGGATTACTTAGGCAGCAGCAGTTTTTGACGATAGTAAAGTACCTTCAGTGGTATTGGACGACTGCGATTCGACGACATCTTGCATGCAAATGATTGTGAAGCTCATAGCTTGTTGATTACAGTAAATAGCCATGCTCAATAGCAGACCCAAAACAAGAATAGCAATTCTCACATGGCTCGATTTTTCACCTTTCGTCATTACCTCAAATGTCATTAAGATCAACGGAAACCATATCTGCTCCACAGAACGAACAGTAGTTAGAGGGTGAGAGATGGCAGCACGAAATCAAGGACATGACAGCTAACTTCACTGCCGAATTCAATTGACTGTACAGAAATGGTAGCAGACATTTAAGACTGAGCAGCTTGTGTTTATCCACTCGATAGTGAATTATGCCGATTATCTCTTCTTAATCCTAAAAACCCTTGCTGATCTTGCCAATTTCAAGGGAGGAGCTCTGAAAGATTGACAGCATATTTTCAAAGCCACTCAGTTCTTCCTTTCCCGTGAATCTGAAAACCTGGGGTCCCTGGAGAAGTGGCTACAATTTTTTTTCTCTACAATTCAGCGTCAGCGAAGAAGCATATTTGCCTTTTTCCTAGTCAAAGATTAACCCTGATCTCTCCGATCTTGGAAACTTTCGTGTTTGATTACGAGGAATTCCCCGATGTTTTCATTATCAAAGTTTTATCTGAAGTTCGCCACATCCGAGAAGCGGCGAGGGCGTCGAAAAAGGTACTATGGGTCATCTGAGTTATTCGAAGTAGGATCCAACTCGCTCAATATGGCA